ATATATCCATTTGAGAAATAAGGTTGGGACAAGTTTTTTCGGACGAAGGGAGTATTTATGTTTTTTTAGCAAGGTTTTGGCATCAGCGCGTCGGACATCATCTTATTTCGTAAAATATAATATGCTTGATAAACGTGTAGCACTTGATTATAATTATATTTTTTGCTTATATACAATTTCTTATATCGCATTTTCCCTTTCTTTGAGTGTATATTGTGGAAACTATTATGTCGGTGCGGATCTTTGGAACATGGCGGCCAATGCACCCGAATTGGAAAATCAATTAAACAAATAAAGATTCAAAACTTTCTGAAACTTATTTAACTAACATGACCTAGCATAATACTCATGTAAAAAGTTTCACGGGAAAATGACTGTCGCGGTATCCTCAGCAATAAAAAACCACAAGTCCAAAAAATATGAATAGTAACTCTTATATAGTACGTATCAGTTTTGTTTTTTGGGAGATTTACATTTTCCCCCTAACTTTGTCCGGACCTCATTTTTATAAGATGAGGTCGGGACAAAGTTAAGGGGGGAAATGGAATTGGCCCTTGTTTTTTCCCCTGTCCAGGACACCACGCTTATACGTGCAATGCACATCTTGCATTTATTTTTGAGAAACTTGCCCAATGTAAGTATTCTTGTTTTAGGCTATTTAGCAAGTATTGCCAAGGTAGAGTATGGAAGCCCAGCCTCATGACACGGAGAAGAATTTGCAAATTCTGCCTTGGGCTTAGCACGTCCTCCAATCTGCAACATGGACCAAGATGTATCACGTATTGGGCCTCTTTTCTGGAAAGTGGGCGATGGTTCCAGAACACCGTGGAGGTTACGTTCTACTGTTCATCACGAATCCCACTGCTGTCAGCCGTTAGATTTAGCACACCAACGGTTATGATTGATGCTCCAGATCCAATTCAAAACTGGTACACTATATAGTAATATAGATATAGATATAGATATAGATATAGATATATAAATAAGTAAATTAAATTTTAAAATATAGATTTATAATATTTTCAAAAATATAGAGTAAACTACTCCAGTAATTTAAACAACGACAAAATGAAACAAATGAAGAAGCAGTGAAGGAAAACGAACAAACCTCCCGGAAGCCCCTTAAGGCGCGAGCGATTTATGTCTTGCGAGGTGCGAGATGGAGGTCAGTCTCGCCGGTGCCGAGCACGCTACTAGGCCAGTCCATGACTGTAGTAGCGATGCGGGTTTTTTTTATGTGGTTTTCATCTTCTTCCTTTTCACATTTCTCAAAAAAAACTTCTTCCTTTTTACTGTTTGTGCCTTATTTATCAGATTTTCTTTCGATTTTTATTTATTTTCCTTTAGATTTTATTTCCTCGGTTTTCTTTTTTTTTCTTTATTGTTCTTTTTCTCAGCATATTTCTACATTTTTGGTACACATTGTATATTTTTCGTATGCATTAGAAACATTTTCTACTCACATCTACCATTTTCCAAATACATAATTAACATTTTCTTTCAATTATACGTATTTTTTTAGGGAAAATTATGTGAGCTTTATTCAACAAAAGCATTCTTGGGGCAGTCTGCAAGAAGACTACTCACCAAGAATGAGGGTGTAGAGTCTAGGCAACTGTCGGTTACCAAAAGTGAGCAAACACGCTTAACACACAGATGGGCCGGCAAGTTGGTAAAAAGCTAGAGATAGCTCTCCAATTTCATCAAGGATCGGTGCCACGACAGAACGATCTGTGTGACGAGAATTCTATAAGTTCACCAATACCATGCAGTCTGTCTCCAAAATCACATGTGTGAGACCTCTTAATTTGGCGAATATGACTCCTTCCCAGAGAGCTAGCGTCTCCATAATCAACGGGTCTGTCACCCTGTCATGTGGTTTGCACCACGAGCCCAGCAGATGAGTAGCCGAGCGCGCAACACCTCCTACACCTCCTTTACCACACATAACATCGATGGCTCCATCACAGTTGATCTTTGCCATTCCATGCTCAGGAGGACGCCACCCATAACCTGGTAATATAGAAGCATGTTGTCTCGGCAGCTCAAGCAGCGCTAAGTCTTCCCTGATCTTCCTCGCAACATTCCCAGGGTCAAGCTGCTGTTGATCATGGACCCCATATGTTTCGAGAGTGCCAGATGGCCCACATCATTGTTATGATTTTCGCTCTTTCATCATCCAAAAACCTGCTATCACATATGATGCCCTGAGACCAAGTATCCGGGTGCAGGCGTGGTAGATGAAAGTCGAACAAAGCTTCAGCTTCTGCCCAGAAGCGTTTTGCATGTGAACAATGGATCAGTATGTGCATCCAATCCTCACTCATTGCGAGGCATTCGTTGCAGTGATCCAACTCTTTGGTGTGCCACCTTTTCAGAGTTTCTTCGGCTGGCAGTATCTTGTTAAGAACACGCCACCAAAAAACTCGTACTTTTGGTATAACCTTGAGCTTCCATAGAGAATTCCATAGTTGTCGTTCGGTCTGTGAGGTTCCCGTATCCGTCCCTTCCTCTCGAGCCAACTGCTCTTTATGAGTCACAAGAGCACGGTACGCTGATTTGACAGAATAATTCCTTGTTGAACCGAAGGCCCAAGCCTGAAAATCCTCTCCACCACCATTGCGTAACAAAATGTTCTCAGTATTGCTTTAGCATCTGGTGCCAGAAAAGTTTACAAACCAAATCATGTTGCCACGTCCAGCTCTCCTGATCAATCAACTCGTTCACAAGCTGGAGTGTCGTGTTCTCTGGTTTAAATATAGGGGTCATCTAGATAGTGTTCGGGATCCACTTGTCTTGCCAAATGGAGATCGTGGTTCCATCCCCAACCTGCTTAATCAAGCCTAACTTCATAGCCTCTCGGCCGGCCACAATTGCTCTCCAAATAGGTGACGCCGTTTTTGGAACCGTTGCAGCCATGAACTCCGAGTTAGGAAAATATCTACTCTTCATAACCCGAGAACATAACGTATCGAGATGCAGCATAAACCTCCACCCGTGCTTCCCCAACAAAGCAATATTGAATGCCTCGAGGTCACAGAATCCCACTTGGGAGAAGCTTGTGCTGCCTTGCTAGTTTATCCACCTGGGAGAAGTCGCCAACCACGCCACCGACCACGTCTGGAGATATGTCGCCAATGATTCGCCGCCGGAGTTTGCATCCACGGCCGCCAGGAGAGTCGCCGGCTAGGGCTAGGGACGAGCTTGGGGGAGGGTGAGAGATGGGGAACGGGGGAGCTGGTCAAGACGCTTTGACCTGGTCCTACCGAGCGGCACCACTAACGGATGCCTGCCATGCGGCGCAGCCCGTCGGCCAGACAGGTGGGTCACTCCTATCAAAAACTAGTTTTAAACCCTTGAAACAGTCATCAGCCAAACTTGATAGTTTTTAGTCACGAAATTAAAAAACTCAGTAGTTTTCGGTCATTTTTTTTAAAAAAAAATGATAGTTTTGTGGGACGGCAACCCCTAAAGTAGGACGCCGCCAAATACAAAGTCACCTCAGTTCACATGATCGATCTCAAGCTTGCATGACTCCAATCATCATGAACGAGCTCTAGTAACCGAAAAGAAAAATCAGCGGCAGAGCAGAGGACCACATGAGCATATCAACGTGGAAAACGACCGCTCATTTCAGATCGCCAATTGCTTTTCTAACATGCACGTGATCGCCACGTACGGCTGCACTGCACAGTCCTGTCCACAGAGAGAGCAGTGTACCCATCGATACAAGGTCAGATCTTTGTCCCCTTCCCAATCACATTGCCCACGCCTATCCATCTCACTCTGGCCCCTCATTATCAGGATGAGGTACGCCGCTGATCAGAGTCACCCATTGCTCTTCTCAAGGCGCCAGAGCAGAGCCCTCCAAACGAAACCAAATATCTTTGATCGGCTACCAAATTGATCCACAGAATTGCAACCTGCAAGTGAAGCAACTCGACTGTCAGCGAAGCAATCCGACTACAGGAGGTCTGATCTGATCTCCTTATCTTAGGATACTGCAACTAGTTTCACTTTGGCAAAACATATGGATACTTCAAGATGCAGAGAGCTATCAGCCTATCACCCATTAATTCCAGCCCCTTCTAGCGACGGTTTTCGACGAAACCGTGTGCTTCAACGTGGACAATGACATTGTACTGGCCAACTAGACGTGGCTGACAGACCAGATTTCATTATCCAAAAGTAATCAAGCAGAGTGAGAGACAAGATTTATGAGTAATGAAACAAGGCATTCAACGGGTGATGCGGTTTAAGAGGGCAATGGCATGTTACCATGTGCATAAGAATAATGTTTCCCAGAGGCCGGTGGCATGCCGCTGTGGAACCAAGGATAACTACCACAGTACGTTTTGGGGGCTGCCGAGTCATAAAGCCGAAGAGCACATGCTGCGTCCTTCCTCTCATGGTTGGGGCTTATTACTCGGAGACGAACAAGACAAAGGGCAAGAAGGTTTCTTGCAAGATCCACAAGAAGGCACCACTCCACTCCATTCCCCACAGGCGAGAGAGAGCCAGAGATTGGGATAGGGCTGAAGGCATGGAGGGCAAGCGCACCGACCAGGTACGTTCTGGTACCTCAAGATTTCAACCAGGATTTAGAATCTTTCTAGATACTCCCTCCGTTCCAAATTACTCGTCGTGGTTTTAGTCCAATTGGACTAAAACCACGACGAGTAATTTGGAACGGAGGGAGTAGAAGCTAGAACAGGCAGAGTGCGAAAAAGCTGAGTTATTCAGCCATATATGAACTTCCTAATTCCTGTTTCTTGTGGTCACATCCAAGAAATCTGCAATCAGATGACACTAACTGGTTTCTGCTGTCTCTGGATCGATTATGCGATCAGATACATGTACTAGATACTACTCCCTCCATTCCAAAATACTTGTCGTGGTTTTAGTTCAAATTAAAAGTAAAAGGAACAAGAAATTTCAATTTATCCTCACCTGAATTCCTGTCTTGTTCATCTGCTGCTCCAAAGGCAAAGCTCAGCACGATGCACTCAAAGGTGATCTGCTGTAAGCTCTACATCTCTGAAAGCCAAAATGCGGCTGTTGTCGATGCCATCAGCCGCATAGGCCAGAAAGACCCTGAGGTGGTTCTACTCAACAAGTTCGAGGATGAGTACTACAACCGTGTCCGCTACACGCTTGTCTCCTATATTAACAGTGAAAGCGCAACTGGTGAAGCTGTATTTAGCCCAATCAGGAAGGTGCTGCTGGCGATGATCGAGGCTGCATTTTCAGCCATAAACCTCGAAGTGCACTGTGGAACTCATCCAAGGATCGGTGTCGTCGATGACATTTCATTCCACCCCTTGACTCAAGCGGCCACAATGGAGGATGCTGCTCAGCTGGCTAAGCTGGTAGCCTCTGACATTGGCAATGGCTTGCAAGGTGAGTCCTCCGACAATATCTTCATTGACAAGATCTTCTATAATTAGCAAATGAGATCATACGCTATGTAAATGTTTTGATTCTGTATGCAGTTCCAGTGTTCCTATATGCGGCAGCACACCCCACCGGCAAGAGCGTCAGTGCAGTCCGGCGTGAGCTCGGCTACTTCCGGCCAAACCACAAGGGTGTCCAATGGGCAGGCCCGGTGCTCCCTGACACTCTACCGATGAAGCCGGATGTGGGCCCAGTACACGTTCCTCATGAAAGAGGCGCCACCATGGTCGGAGCTCAACCTTTGGTCGAGAGCTACAATGTGCCGATATTCTGCAAGGATGTCCCGACCGTGAGAAGAATCACCCGGAGGGTAACTGGACGGAGCGGAGGGCTCCCTTCAGTACAGGCACTTGCGCTTTTCCATGGCGACAATTGCACGGAGATCGCATGCTTTTTGCTGGATCCAGACCACGTCGGCGCCGATCGGGTTCAATGGCTGGTGGAGCAGATTGCAGAAGAGCAAGGGCTTGAAGTTGACAAGGGCTATTTCACCGACCTGTCAAAGCATATGATGCTAGAAAGGTACTCCGAGATGGTTTCTGCAGCTGACTGACCTGTTGAATTTCGTGCCGACACTCTTGTAATCATGCATGTCTGCACTTCCATGTATGCTGCTGTTTAAACTGTGGCACCAACTTGGACTCCGGACCGACCAATTCCAAAATTTTGTATATACTTAGTTATATCTGCACTAGAGGTGGTTCTCTGGAAACTTCGCCGCAGTAATTGGCGCATAACAGGTCTCGTCACTGAATGAGAATGTTGTTTTCAGTAATTAAAGTCTGGCAACTTGGCAAGGCAGTATTCCTTAATGCCAACTGACAAAATGCTTTTCGGGGGTGGAGGGGGTGGGGGGCACACATTTTTGCGTAGAATTTTGGAACAGAAAAGATTAGAGGGTAAAAATTATTATATAAATATATGTGAAAATATGAATAATTTAAGTTATTTTGTCTCAGTTTGTACCATGCACTACAATATATTTAGAATGCTGCTGTAGGAGGGGGCACTTCAAAGTTCAAATAGCCATCAAATATCTTTGTGTAAGTCAGCTTGCAGGAGATTTACAAGTCCTTTTGCAGATTCCATAAGATTGAAGGAAGATAAGGAAAACATTAAAAAGATGGTGAGTAAAAATTATGGACAATGAAGCAAAGTAGGGAAATGAGCGAGTACTGGATTCAGCATTTGGACAGTAGCATAAATCTATAATCTTGGGTACCATATGGTAGGGAAGACCGGAGGCGGAGGAAAGAACCATCATGCTTTAGATAGACCTTTTGCGGCAGCATGTACCTGTCAAATGGGTAATCAAGCATCCTCACGTGATCATCTAAATTCACATAATGAGCAATTGTGGCAGTTGTACTAGCAACATCAACAGCAATGGACAAAAACCGCACTAAGAATCTACGGATGAAAAGGAAGGGCATATCAAAAACTCCAAAGTTTCTTAAAGATAGACCATGTAAGTATATTCAATATCTTTATCGGGAAAAAGATGTAGATTCAATTACTGAGAAAAGAATAATACAAATAAATGAGCGATTAACTTCAATGTTGGAGGTGGAGGCGGAGTGCGCGCCGCTGGAGGCCAATGGCGTCCGTGCGCCAGGCGGCGGTGAGGAGCACGGCAAGGCAGACAGAGTGACCGCGAAAGGAAAGGCCCCAAAACGCGCGGTGGGCTGGCAGCCGGCCCACGAATGGTTTTCTGGTTCCTTTTTTATTTCCGATTAAAAATATATTTAATGTAAAAAATATTTTATTTTTTAGAAATTTTGAGATATTCATATATCAATTAATTTTACTTTTTAAAAATATTCGTAGTATTTTGGAAATGAT